GGTAAGTAATCCCTGGTTACGAACAAGGAACGACATGGGCAACGAGCTACCGTCTTTAACTTTGCACGATTCCATTTTGTGCGATCCCACAACAACCTAATAACATAATCCTAGACGTTTGGCTCGGCGTGGCGGCGTGAAGCGCATTTCCGCAACCATCTACGACGACGTGCGCCTGGCCCTCAGAGAGCGACTAGCAAGGGTCAGTCACTCAGGAACTAGAAGCTGCATGCAATGACTAACAGTCTATCAGATCCTGAAAGACTGCTGTGCGATCGTGGACTCCAGTGGACGCAAGACCGTCTCAGTCACCGACATTGTCTTTACCCTTCGACGAGTAAGTTCGAATTTCAGAAGCAGGGTACGAATGCTAATACTTGTGATAGCTCGGTAACCCTATATACGGCTTTGAGCCCCATTTTCTCAATAACCGCTGAGTGTACGTTATCACGACTTATCTTGCGCGGCGTCTACGCACGTGGCGCGCGCTGCTAGGGATGCTCAATGCTGAGCATGGAACGACCGTTCGCGCTTGACAAGCCCAATCGGCGAATCTCAGCATTGGACCATGCATAATGATGACGGTGTCCAGGATAGATCCACACGGATGTGTGATGAGTGGCACGGAGACGGATTTTCAGATTCAAGAGGATATGCATTTTCCTTCTTATTAGCGATGATACCCAATGCCATCCTATATGCCCCACTGCCGTAACCATGCTGGCCATTCACCATTTCTCAATCCCCTTTTTAAGTACCTCCATCGCTTGTTCCCACTCGCCTCCATCTCTACCCTCGCCCCAGCGTTCCCTGTACCACTGATCCAATGCGTTCAACAATCTCACTACCTCCCCTTGCATCGCCGCGGCCCCACTCTTATTCCTCTTCCAGGCCTTTTGCACACATTCCATCGTCAGCACCATGGTGTGATGCTTTAGAAACCGCTCCAACACCGCCTGCTCCTGCAGACCCGGCAAACCAAACGGATTATGATAGGGCGACTGCTCGAACGTATATCTCCATCTGATAGGCTTGTGTGGTGATCTGAAACACCAAAGGAACCAAGACGCCAGCCGACAGAAGACCAGGAAATGTGATTTATGTACATCCGACGGTACGGTGTAGATGTTCCCAAAAGGCTGACATGCTTTCCAATGATCCTGCATATATCCGTCGATCAGCCAGCCTTTGGGCGGATACGTGAAAGAGGTCTTTACACTAGGCAGAACGTTGATTTCCAAATGTCGGTTCCGAGACAAAAGAAGAGCGCGGTGTTGCTTTGGCAGTTCATCGATCCAACTCATGACAGGATGGAAATTCAGATTCCGGACTGCGAAGCTGAAGGTCGTGTCGGTGTAGTAGTCGTATGCTGCTTCGATCCTGATGGCGCGGCAGATATGCAGTAGAGGAGGTAGACGGCGCTGTCCGCGTTTGAGGATTGCGGGCCAGTTGTCGGAGATGTGGTGCGTTGAGGGGAGAACGAAGGTGTATATCAGACTGCGTAGCTCGGATGGAAGATTTGATAACAAGCATGGCTTTGAAGCGTCTTTAGCTTTGATGGCATACAAATCGCGGTTATAGGTGATCTGGTCTCTGGCTTGCGGAGTAAGGAGGGATGGTCGTTTGAGAGCTTTCTTTGGCGTTGAAGGAGCCTTTTCAAGTGCTTTCGTGGTCGTTGAGATTCTGGTCTTTTTGAGAGACGGTATTATCGACTCGTCGATGATGTGGGTCGTCTTCGAAGCCTTAGGGCTGGCCTTGGATGTAGAGGAGGATGTAGCGCGTGCATACGAAGGAGGTGCCATATCTTCAACGAAGTACTGGCGCGCTATTGAACCAAGAAGAAGTTGTACTTTGAGATCTCCATGGAAAGAGCACTTCACGCGACTGTGCCGCTCGAGTATCGTGCAACCTCACTAGCACCAACTCTTCGCTTATGCTGCCATATTTTGATTCGTATATCTCAAGAAGTTACAAAGGCTCCTGTTGTTAGCGTATTGTTGATGCATACTGCCTGCTTGAAGCTTGGAGGTCGATGCGTGGCGATGCCTGTGTCAGGCTGGCCACGTGACACCGTGAAAGTGGGGCTCGTTATCCATCGCGCTTCCCCGTACTGCTCATGTTTCCATCGTGCATCAGTCACCAACATCGCCACAAATTACAATTCGAATGCGCAACTTAGCGTGCGATCATGGCAGATGACATGGATATTTCGACGTCATCGCCACGTGGAACGAAAAGAAAAGGCGATGACAGTCTACCACTTCCCGCGCCGCGCCGAATCAAGGCACTATCGCAAGATGTCGTCAACAAAATCGCGGCCGGAGAAATCATTGTCGCGCCAGTGCACGCGTTGAAAGAGCTGATTGAGAATGCTGTTGATGCAGGGTCGACTGCATTGGAGGTCCTAGTTAAAGACGGCGGCCTCAAGTTGCTCCAGATCACCGACAATGGTCACGGCATCGATGTATGTCTTGATGTTCTCAGAGTCATCACATGCTGACTTCCCTCAGAAAGAAGACCTGCCAATCTTATGTGAACGTTTTACTACTTCCAAACTCAAGGCATTCGAGGACCTGACTTCTATTGGGACGTACGGCTTTCGTGGCGAGGCGCTGGCGAGTATCAGTCACATTGCTCATCTCAAAGTTACTACGAGGACAAAGGAGTCGAGCTGCGCGTGGGAAGCGCATTTTGCGGATGGTAAACTTTCAAGTGCGAAGCCTGGCCAGAGTGCCGAACCAAAGCCTAAGGCTGGCCGACAGGGCACGATCATTACAGTATGTTCGTCCTCCCCCAGCGCTGTGGCAGTAACTAACGAGGTGCTAGGTTGAGGATCTCTTCTACAATGTTCCTTCTCGGCGGCGAGCTTTCCGTTCCGCTAGCGAAGAGTACGCGAAGATTCTCGAGCTCATCGGACGTTATGCTGTCCACTGCGCAGGCGTTGCCTTCTCCTGCAAGAAGGCAGGCGAAAACAATAGCATAACCGTACCTGCTTCTGCTACCGTCAAGGACCGGATTCGAACGATCCATGGCAATTCTGCTGCAAGCGATTTGGTAGCCCTGAACGTCAAAGACGACCGCTGGGGCTTCAAGTGCGACGGTTGGGTCAGTAACGCAAATTATACTGCGAAAAGAACAGTAATGCTGCTCTTCATCAACCACCGAGCGGTAGAGTCGCCCGCGATCAAGAAGAGTGTTGAGCAGACTTACGCCACGTTTCTACCGAAAGGAGCTCATCCGTTCTTCTATCTAAGTCTCGAAATCGAGCCACAGCGAGTGGATGTAAACGTGCATCCTACAAAACGCGAGGTTCACTTCCTCAATGAAGATGAGATCATAGCCGTCATCTGCGACTCGATCCGCGAAAACTTGAGTAAGGTCGATACGAGCAGGACTTTCATGACCCAGTCCTTGCTTTCAAACCCCAAAGTTCCTTTTGCAACGCCCATGAAGCAGATCATACCTTCGACCCCTGCCACAGGCGATGCATCAGACCGTAGCGGCCGAAAAGCGCCGCATACAGCGTCCAAAAAGCGAGACGAAACCAACCTTGTCCGTACGGATTCTTCAGCACGCAAGATTACGTCAATGTTGCAGCCGCAAAAGTCCGTCGAAGAGATTGCAAACGACGAAGAAGAGATGGAATATGAGTTCGCAGAAAAGGAACCAATGGCGTGTCGTCTCACATCCGTCAAAGATCTTCGTGCGGAGGTTCGAGATGCAATGCATAACGAGCTTACCGACATCATTTCAACGCATACGTTTGTTGGTATTGTCGACGAGCAGAAGCGAATAGCGGCTATACAAGGCGGTGTAAAGCTATTCCTTGTCGATTACGGTATGCTCTGCAACGAGTACTTCTACCAGGTCGGTCTGACCGACTTTGCCAACTACGGCAAGATACGCTTTAACCCACCCTTGCCGCTACGTGACTTACTCAAGGTTGCTGCAGAACAGGAAAAGAAGAATGCAGGCGATGCGGCAGACGAAATAGACTGGGATGAGGTTGTTGAAGTAGTGAAAGAGCAGTTGATCAGCAAGGCAGCGCTGCTGAGCGAATACTTCTCTATGGAGATTACACCAGAAGGCGAACTCTGCTCTATCCCGCTGCTGATGAAAGACTACACGCCCTCTATGGCCAAACTCCCTCAATTCCTACTGCGTCTTGGACCGCACGTTAATTGGAATGAGGAGAAAGGATGCTTCCAGACGTTGCTGCGCGAGATTGCTTCTTTCTATGTACCTGAAAGTCTGCCTCTGTCGCCCTCGGCACAAGCAGGTGACGATGGTAAAGGCAAGGCTAAGGTCCTTGAGGAAGATCCCGAAATTGCAGCAAGGCGGAAGAAACTCCTGCGAGCGATCGAGTTTACCATCTTCCCTGCTTGCAAGGCTAGGCTCGTGGGCACAAAGGGATTACTGCAAGGTGGAGTGATGGAGGTCGCGAATCTGAAAGGTCTATACCGAGTATTCGAGCGATGCTGATGGATGAAGAGCACAGAAAGGGATATGTAGCACCCGCGTGTACCGAAGTAGTAGCCACACCGGAGATTTGATGGGATGAAGCAATGATACAAAATAGCGAGCGCGCTGCGCGTTCTAATGCGGAGCGGGGTGGCCGTACGAACGCCACGAGATACTATTACTAGTCTGAATGCGAGACATGCACAAGTAAGAAAGGCATTCATAATCGATGCGCTGCGACAGTCAACATAAAACTAGTAGCAAATCTAGACAACTCGCCCGCTACCGCGGAGCTAAAGGAAGGAGCTAGGATCTCGCGGCTGCGAACGTCACCACAACGCTTCGATCTAAAACTCGCTAATACGTCATAGATGTCCCTTCCATCGAGCAAAAGCCCCTAACGAAAAGAATCGCAACAACAAATAAAAGCAATCGGCCGCCATGGATTTCCCAAGGATAGCAAGCTTTTCCAAGGACGACTTGTGGACGGTAAACTCACTCGACAGCGCTAGTGCTGTGTCGGTCCTTCCCAACTCGCCATGTCGCAATTAATCAATCGCATCCGCTTACCACGCGCTTTTCGCCCTCCAGCCCAAATCAACGCAGAAGAAGGCACGAATGGACACCCAGAAACGAATCGCGGGAAGACGGCGCCCAAGGAAGCGGAGAATGGCAACGGGAAACAGGAACAGTCTGAGATGCAACCTGTGGGGTTCTGGCATCCCGACCTGCGACAAGTACGCAACCGCGCATTCGTAAAATGGATCATCACGACGGCTTTCCTCATGGCATTCATCCTCTGTGTGCTATCGCTGTACTGGGCCGTATTTTTCAAGGTTGAAAATAGGCTGAGCCATTTACTGGTGTATGTCGTGGACATGGATGGAGCGGCGCCTTACGACAACACGGGAAACGCGCCATTCGTTGGACCGACCATCACGCAATTAGTACAACAACAGCTGAGCAGCGGCCAGCCGACGTTGGGATGGGGTGTTCGACCCGGTTCAGATTTCAACAACGATCCATTAGAAGTCCGACAAGCTGTCTATAACTGGGATGCCTGGGCCGCCATTGTCATCAACCCCAACGCGAGCGCGCTGTTGTACTCTGCTATCGCCAACGGGAATACGAGTTACGATCCCCTGGGAGCATGCCAATTGATATACCAAGACGCCAGAGACGACACGAACTGGTTTAATTTCATGTTCCCCATTATCAGCCAGTTCATGACGCAGGCCCAGAGTATGGTCGGACAGCAATGGGCACAGATGGCTATGCAGAGGGCAAGCGACCCGGCAGTACTATCAAACATTCAGAACGTACCCCAGGCCATCAACCCGGCGATTGGCTTCTCTGAGTTCAACCTGCGGCCTTTCTATCCATACACCGGCATTCCTGCCGTGTCCATCGGACTCATCTGTAAGACGCCTTACAACCCCCACATTAGCTATGGCTAACAAAATTCGCAGATCTCATCATCATATCCTTCTTCAGCTTTTCCTTCTACATGCCCATCCACATGCAATACCTCAAGCCCGAAAACCACCCGCCTCTCAAGTTTAAGCAACTCATCGTCTGGCGATGGTGTGCTACGATATGCGCCTACTTCATGCTTTCCCTCGCCTACTCCTTCGTTTCCATGGCTTTCCAAATCAACTTCTGGCATACCAACTCCATCACCAGCGAAACGCAGGTTACGAATATGATGGAAGGCAATCCGGTGGCATATGGAAGTGGCACGTTCGTCGTGTATTGGATGCTTAATTTCTGCGGTATGATCGCGTTGGGTTTGGCGTGTGAGAACGTGGCTATGATAGTGGGTATGCCGTGGATGGGACTGTTCTTGATCTTCTGGGTCATTAGCAATGTTTCAACTGCGTTTTACGATATCGAGATCGCGCCTGGGTTCTATAGATGGGGATACGCTTGGCCGCTGCATTCAAGTAAGTCATTTTCGACTCCGCACCTCGGTGATATCAATAGCTAACGTTACATGCGTAGTTGTCGAAGGCAGTCGATCGATACTGTTCGATCTACATTCCAGAATAGGACTGGACTTCGGTATTCTGCTTGCGTGGGGAGCAGTCAACACGCTGTTCTTCCCCTTCTGCTGCTGGTTTATGAGTAAGTCTCTTCGCATACTGGCGCTATGTTTTACACTAACACTGAACAGGATGGAAAACACAACACAACATCCATGAATATTGGCCCCTCGACTAATGTGGGGGCGCTTTTGACTTCTCCGAGCCACAGCATCTTGGATCTTAGTTCGCAATTGTCACGACACATTATAATGCATATATGATAACAATATTAATCATACTCATGTTCGATTCATATTTCAATTTACACTTCGTTCTCATCGCCCGATCTCAGTGTTGCAGCATGACAAATGTACAAAGATAATATTGCGGTATAACGAGGGTATCAGGTCTTAATAATCATAATGCTAGCCGGACCAACTCCACGCTGCTCGTGTGTCGTGTAGTATTCGTAATTCATAACTCGTCATGTACTTCTCTGTAAACGTGCCACCTCAACTGCAGCATCTGTCATAGGTTCATGGAAAACTTCCTCGCTCGAACCGCTTGTAGGAATGCTCCGTAGCTCCAGGTCAGATCGTTGGCTCCCCTCATGTAGCCCGTCACGCGGTCGAACTGCTCACTCATGCTTCCCTCAGCATCAACGTGCGTCTTGATGACCTCGAGGAATTGGTCGGCAGTGGTGTGCAGGCGCTCAATGACGGAATGAAAGAGCGCATCGGAGTCACCGTAGGTACCAACATCAACAAAGAGGGAAGAAGTTGCGAGGAGAGCTTCAAAGAATGGTAGACCGGTGTTAGAGATGGTTAGGTTGCCGGCGACCGAAATGTGTGCTGCGGTGCGGTAGAGGACCTCAGCGGCTGACGAAGTGCACAAGAACCAGGGATTGCCACCACGGTTAGAGGTGCCGTATCCGTCGTAAACATCCTCGGGGTATCGACCAAGTCCAGTGCCTTCGAAAGAATCTTCTTCCATATCGTCATCCTGGTCGTCGTTGGAAGGGCTGCTATTGATGGGGAAGCGATCGCGTTGGTCGCGAGTCAGAGCCAGAAGCGACATGAGCATCTCATCAGACCATGGTGGATATACAACATCACTTTCGGAATCGCCTGCGGGTAGAGCGTGGAGCGAGCCAAGGAGCAACCCACAGTCCAATCCGCTGCGCTGGCTTGACAGCGTCTCAACAAGATGGCCTTTCTGTGCATCCCAGAACTTGCCAAGGAAAGCCTCGATGTACCCAGCTTGCTCCTCGTACCAGGCCGCCGCACCCATGTCTTCGAATGTCCTTGCAAGGTCGGTGCCTTCCCTCAAACTTCTTGCGCTGACCATCAAGTTGAAGAAGTGCAGACCCTCAACTTCTTCCCAGAGATCGAAGCTCGACTGGTTCCAGAAGTGGCTGACGTACTCCAGGTCGGCCTTGATGACACTGCGTGGAGGCATCTCGACGGCGTAGTATGGCCGGAAGAAATCCTCAGCTAACTCCGAGCTCCAGAGCAAAGGGTGTGAAGCATTGTATTCGCGTAGATAGTGCATGAGCGTCAGCGCACGCAGGGCTGGGCCATCACGCTGAGGGCGTCCCCATGAACCAGTAAACGGTGTTCCGTCTACATGGAACTTAGGTTCACCAAGCCCAGAGAGATCGTCAAAGGTACCGGAAGGGTTCGAGGTATGCTGGATATCGCTCGAGAGGGAGGTATACGCGTCGAGGATGGTAGAGAGTGCGGAACCGCGAGAAGAAGATGGTTCGTCGGCGTAGACATCTACGAGGGTGTTCATAGTGATCGCAGCATCGCGAACCCCTGTTCGAAGTGTATTAGTAGACGCTCAGTGGTAGGTATAGGTTGGTGCCACTCACATTGGAACCAGTAGTCTGGCTCGTCCCGACTCGGACTCGCAATGACCGTGCCATCCGCTACGCCCTTGCCTTGTATATTACTGCCTCCGGGTGCGACATTTGCCAGGAGTTTGTCCAGAGCTATGCGCTCTTCCTTCTCGATCCACGCATCGAACGTGTCTTGCAGTGGTTGTTGCTGTGTTTGTGTTCGACTGGCGCCAACGAAAGTACTCAGCGGAGGGAGACGCGGTATTGAGAAGGCATAGGCGTGGTGGAGGAAGCCTGCAAGTAGGACTACGCGAGGAAGCATGGCAGCTGACTGTCGGATTGGCTGGGTAGGGCCGATGGACTAGGACACTGGAAGAAGTGTAGTGTAGTTAGCAGTTCATAACTAGCGCACAGCGGAGCAGAAAACAAAGTGAGGAAGCAGGAAAGAGATCTCGTGGAGTCTAGGTGTTAGTAGTCGATCAAAGAGACACAAGAGCCGCCCATGGCCCCCGAGGCCCCAGGCGTCCATGCTCTGAGCTTCGGCGGTCATCCCTTTCATCGGCCATGATTCTCGATCACGATGATGACGGTAAGTCGCGTGCCAGGACTAGCGGAGTGCGTGGACGAGTAGGAGGCGGTGGACGGGGTCGCGCGGGCGGTCAATTGTCTTGTTTGACATGGCGGGTGATGTGTAAAATGCCACGCGAGCCGACGCCAACAACGTCACGCGACCCACTTCCGCGGATCTGGGGTAAGCATGCAAGGCACCCTCTGGCTGGGCATGCGACACGAAAACATGCCGAGGTCTGCGCATAGTCGCACATGAAATTCGGATTTGAACACAAGAAGTAAATGATGTCGACAGATGATACAGTGTCATTCAATGACTGTTCTGTCCTTTGGTTGACTCGTGGCATGGTACTTCTCCTCGTCTAGATCATGCCGAGGTACTACAGACTGCCCATCATCCAAACTAGTTGAAGCGCGTCAGCTCTGGCCGATGACTGTCGACCATGGGCTGGGAATCGTAAGAAAACACCATGATATGAGATGCCTATAGCCCATATCGAAAACTTCAGATGGATTCCGACGTTCTCCGAGGTCCGGACGATGAGGGGTCCAGTCGGCTACTTGCATGTAGCCGCAATGCACGTCGGTTGTTCCCGTCACCTCTGAGCTCATCAAAGTATCATCTATCCTAACCAGACACTCAAATTGTACAAAGACGGTAGGGTTGTTCTTCGTCACCAGGTTCTTTCTCTATTCCGCGACTGGAAAGTGGCTCGCGGTTGTTCCAACGGTTCTATCCCTGGAAGTATCGGGGTCTATGACGTTCAATTGACAGCTCCGACACTTCCCACCCAGTATGCTATCACAGCAAGCGCGAGTGTTGCGCAACGTTCGGTCGGCGCGAAAACCTGGCCAACGGATACCCTGTGCTACTTTCTCGGCCTCTTCACGATACAGCAACTACGACGACACCATTCAAAATCTCAAGATCGGATCATACACTCGCGTCATATTCCAAGGATTCACCGGCAAGCAAGCTACTGCAAATGCAAAAGAGTCAATAGCATGGGGCACGAACGTTGTCGGCGGCGTAAAGCCGAATGGTTCGGGCGAGCATCTCGGGCTGCCTGTCCTGCCATCTGTGAGGGCTGCAATGGAACAGCTAAGGCCTGATGCAACGGGAATTTATGTCGCGGCACATCAAGCAACTGCTGCAATCGAAGAGGCGATCGAAGCTGAGGTGCCACTCATCGTTGCAGTCGCGGAGCATATTCCGTTGCATGATATGATGAGGATACATTCCATGCTACAGTCGCAGTCCAAGTCGCGGCTTGTGGGTGCCAACGCACCAGGAATCATCTCAGCCATTGGAAGATGCAGGATTGGATTTCAACCACTTCCCACGTTCTCTCCCGGACACATCGGCATTGTGGCGAAATCTGGGACTCTCTCATACGAAACCGTCGGATCTCTGACAAGAGCTGGTGTTGGACAAAGTCTTTGTATCGCAGTAGGAGGTGACGTGGTGGCTGGGACCAACTTCGTTGACGCGTTGAAAGTTTTCGAGGGTGATGAGGATACAGAGGCTATCATCATCGTTGGTGAGCTAGGCGGTACAACAGAAGAGGAGGCAGCGGACTGGATCAAAGATTACAGAAAGCGTGTTAGGAACCCGAAACCCATCGCTGCTGTCATTGGAGGCTTTGAAGCTCCACCCGGTAAGGTTATGGGACATGCAGGAGCCTGGGTTGGTCTAGGAGAGGGAACTGCAGCTTCAAAGTACAAAGCGCTGGAGGATGCCGGTGTGACTATGGTAGATCACCCTGCCAAATTTGGCGGTGTGATGAAAGACATTCTTGCCAAGTCCGGTCGCAACGTGCGAAAGATTGTATGTTGAAAGTGACGGGAGACTTAAGAAATGGACACTAACATCGACCAGGAGCAATCAGCAGCTCAACAGCGTCGTTCGTACCACACTTCAAGCTTTACACGGCGGCCTATCATTTCCACCAGACCATCGATCCCACTCCAGCAAAGACGCTCTCTCCACCTTACCAAGGACCAGTCTACGAACCTTCTCGCGACATACAAAATCGACCTGACAACACCACCAGAGGGCTCGCCTTCGACACATTACCTAGGCATTTCCCCACACCGCTCAGCACGCAGTCCCTCAATCATAGCATCACCCACCGCAAACCCTGCCAAACTGAACCAACGCGTCCGCCGTTTTCCTTTCGACTACCGTTCAGGCCCCAGTAAAGAAGTCATCCAATCCGCCATTGCACACATGCAACTGGACGCTGCCCCACCAATGGCCAAAGCCCAAACTGTTGAACTAATCAACAATCTATGGAAATTGTACAAAGAGAAAGAAGCAATCGACGCCCACGTCAAAGTCGCTCTATCTGTCGAAAGTGACGAGATACTCATTTACGAACCGTACTTGTTCTTCGACGACGCAGCATTCAAATCCGGCAAAAGGCAGGCTGATCTCCATGCTCTCCGTGACCAAGAGTCAGTTTCAGCAACAGATCGAGAAGCTGAAGAAGCTGGTATCGTGTACATACCGCTGGGGTCTCCTGAATTTCCGCCGGGGACTAGTCAGGCGGGGACGCAGACGCCGCCTTCCTCTACGGCAGAAGAGGGACCGCGGAACTTGATCGGAACTTTGGTGAATGGCGCTGGACTGGCACTCAACACTATTGATACGCTGTCTCTGCGGCTTTCACAGCCACCTTATTCGACTTCTGCTGCTAATTTCTTGGACACGGGTGGAAAGGCGACGTCTGCAACGATCAAGACGTCTTTCAAACTCATCCTGTCCGACCCCCGGGTGTCTGTAG